AGCCCTCCAAACTGAAATTTTAGTGTAGCACCTATTAAAAGAAAGTTCTTGGGCTGGGATGCAGTGCAAGCATGAGGATCTGAGTTAAGATTCCTAGTGCCCGTGTAAAACACTGGTGGGTGTGGAGACAGGAGCATCCCTGGGGTTTGCTGGCCAGCTGCTCTAGCTGAAACAGCCTAGCTTCAGTGAGAGAACCCTGCTTTAAAAAATAAGTAGACAGCAACCAAGGAGGGCACAAAATATCAGTCTCCACACATGTAGGTTCATGTGGATGCACGTGTGTGTGCAAACACACACACACACACACACACACGATCTCCCACTTGTTCTTCCCCCAGCTACTGGAATCAACTATTCTGTTCTCTGCCTATGACTTTGGCTACTTTGATTGTCTAATATGGAATCATAGATGTGCTTTTGTGACTGACTTTTTTAACTTAGCATAGTATCTTCCAAATTCTTCATATCCCAAGATGTGTCGGACTGAGTAACAGCAGTATTGTGTGTGCCCGATCTATGCTACATTTTGTGCATCCATTCAACTATCTTGCCCTTCTTTTTAGTTCCCACCCTTTGACTGCAGAATGTGCTGAGGGTGGGTTATACAGATACCCATGAGTCTCTGTTCCAAGTTTTGGGGAGAACTGCCCATATACTTTTCCCAGTGACTGTGTGGTTTCGTCCATCCAACACCTGCACAAAAGGATCTAAAAGTAGAGCGCTTGTAGCCCAGGCTGGCCTTGAACTCTTTACCTTCCTGTTTCAGCCTTTCCAAGTGTTTCCAATGGAGCCACATGTGTGGGTGACTCACACCTGCAAATCCAGTCCTGGAGAGGTTGAGCCTGGAGAATTGCTACAAGTTTGAGGCCAACACAGGCTCCATGAGTGAATATCATCCAAATGGATGAGAAGCCACATGGAGTGGAAACAGGATCTGATTCTATAGTCTAGACTGGCCTCAAGCTATCCACCCAGATTGTCTGATCCTCTTCAGGTCTCCCAGATGCCAGCAGCACAGCCTCCATTACCAGTTCATTGTACTGCGTGCTTTTGATTTCCATCCCCGTGCTCAGTGCTTTGGCCATTTTGGGACACCGTGCCCCCCCCCATTGTTGAGTTGCATCATTTTAAAAGATAAATTAAAAATATTCAGAGGCTGTATTAGGGTTCTCTAGAGTGGCAGAATTTACAGAATGAATCTCTCTTTATACGTGTGTGTGTGTGTGTGTGTGTGTGTGTGTGTGTGTGTGTGAGAGAGAGAGAGAGAGAGAGAGAGAGAGAGAGAGAGAGAGAGAGAGAGAAAAAAGAGAATTTGTGAGTTCAAGGCCAGCGTGGTCCACAGAGCTATTTCCTGGATAGCCAGAANAGAGAGAGAGAGAGAGAGAGAGAGAGAGAGAGAGAGAGAGAGAGAGAATAAAAAGAGAATTTGTTAGAATGATTCACAGGACACAGTCCAGTCAACTCAGCAGTAACTGGCTATGAATGGAAGGTCCAAGAATCCAGAAGTTGCTCAGTCTACAAGGCTGGCTGTCTCAGCTGGTCAGCAGTAGATGTTGGAAATCCCAAGAAGTGGGCTGTAGTGGTGGTGTGCCTCCAGCAGAGTGTGTGTGTGTGTGTGTGTGTGAGAGAGAGAGAGAGAGAGAGAGAGAGAGAGAGAGAGAGAGAGAGAGAGAGATCGCGATTGCTGAGTTCAAGGCCAGCGTGGTCCACAGAGCTATTTCCTGGATAGCCAGAACTCCACAGAGAAACCTGTTTTGTAAAACCAAAGCAATAATGATGATGCTTTGGTGAGGAAATAAAACCCATTACCTCAAATTCCTAGTCAAAATGAAGAAAAGCCGACTACAGCATTCATATTAAAATGATTGGAGTACTTTTCATCCATGCCATCTTTGTTAGTGGTTACAGTGCTATGTATTTTATTATTTATTTGTTTCACAATTAAAAAATAATGCCATCTGCAAGCTAGGAGTGGTGGTGCACACATTGGGTTGGAGCAGAGGTAGGTGGATCCCTGAGTTTGAGGCCAACCTGGTCTCCAGAGTGAGTTTCAGGACAGCTAGGCTACCTTGTCTCGAAAAATAAAATCAGCTGCAGAATTCTTTGGCCTTGGTATTGATAGAAAGAAAAACTCTACATTTTACTTTTTCCTGTAGTCAACCGATGCCAGCAAAATTTGAAATCTATCTTCCACTTCAGTCTAGTTTTAGAAGTTGGCATTATGGAAGGAAAACAAGACTCCCGAGAATGTCTTTGTCCGCACACTTTGACATGTTCATATACATCACACACACACACACACGCACACACACAAGATAAGTGTAATAAAACAATATTCTCTGCCCTTGGCCAGAGATTCTGATGAGATTCTGATGTGGAGAGATCATTAGTGCTGTTGAGGTTGGAAAGTGATGAAAAGCAGCACTAGAAAGATGCCAGGTATGGTGGTCCATGTCTATATTCACAGCACTCATGCGGTGGAGGCAGGAGGATTAGGAGTTATCCCTAGCCACACAAAGAGTTTGATGTCGGCATGGATTATATAAGACCCTGTCTCAAAAAAGGAGCTTAATACTGGATTTAATACTGTGTACCTGCATCCCAGTACTTTATCTAGCCGGGGGATCATAAATTACAGTCTGTCCTGCACTGTGTGAAGAAACCCTGTATTAGAAAAAAAGAGGGAGCGTCTGTCTTTGTGGAGTGATGAGAGGGGTCTGTTGTAGGTGGCTGTTTGTTCATCCCGGCCGCCCAGAACTGAAATAATCATACAGAAGCTGTATTAATTAAATTAAATCACTACCTGTTCCATTACCTCTAGCTTCTTATTGCCTAATTCTTACATATTAATTTAACCCATTTTTATTTATTTGTGTATCGCCACATAACTGTGGCTTACTGGCTAAAGTCCCGTCTGGCTCCGGTGGGGCTTCTCTCTGACTCAGCCTTCTCTCTCTCAGCATTCAGCCCAGTCTTCCCTGCCCAGCTCTGTTCCCCTATAGTTCTGCTATAGGCCCGAAGCAGTTCCTTTTATCAATGGTAATCATAGCATACAGAGGGAAATCCTATATCAGAGGTCTGTCCTGGTACTGTGGTGAGGGGGTCTATTCTGGTGCCGTGGTGGTGGGGGTCTATCCTGGTGCCGTGGTGGGGGGGTCTAAACTGGTGCCGTGGTGGTGGTGGGGTCTATCCTGGTACAGTCGTGAGAGGGGGGTTATCCTGGTGCAGTGGTGTATTTTGTATATATGATGATTCTTCTGTATCTGAGGAAAACACCAGGGACTGTGGCATGTTTTGAATTGTCAAAGCTTGATCAAATCCACTTAGCACACTTTCCCTCTGATTCAAGCTTATGCATTATATAGAAGAAAGAAATTATTAGCTACCTGATGAGAAGTCATTAAAAATGACTGAGTCAGAGTTGAGTGTGGTGGCATGGCATACCTTTAATCTCAGCACATGAGTTCAAGGCCATCTTGGCCTACTTAGTGAGTTCCAGGACTACCAGGGCTATGGAGAGAGAACTGTCTTAAAGAAAGAAAAGAAAAAATACAAATAAAAAATATTGCTTCATATTATGTCTTTCTTCACCACCTGCAGCCCTGATGGCAGAGTGCCCGTCTGAGGCTGGAGCTGGCCTGGGATTCACTGTCAATCCTCTACTGTAATTTACTAGCACTTGAGCCATCATGCCTGACAGATTATATCTGTTACGTTATAGCCAGATGATGGTGGCGCACACCCTTAATCCCACCACTAGGGAGGCAGAGGCAGGCGGATCTCTGTGAGTTCGAGACCAGCCTGGTCTACAAGAGCTAGTTCCAGGACAGGCTCCAAAGCTACACAGAGAAACCCTGTCTCGAAAAACAAAACAAAACAAACAAACAAACAAAAAAAAACCAACCAAAAAAAAGATTATATCTGTTAGGTTTTTTGCTGGTTTTGTTTTGTTTTGAGACAGGGTCTTAAATACGTAGCCTTGGCTGGTCTGGATACAACTATTTATGTAGACCAGGCTGGCCTCAAACTCACAGACATCCACCTGCTTCTGCCATGGCACGTGTACTCGGAAGGCAGAAGCTAGTGATTTTGTTTAAGGCAGGCTCTTGCTATGTCAATTCTGGCTGGGTAGGTTTGGTTTTTTGAGACAGGGTTTCTCTATGTAACCACCCTGGGTGTCAGGGAACCCTCTCCCTGTAGACCAGGTTGACCTTGAACTCAAAGAGATCTGCCTGCTCCTGTGCCTCCTGAGTGCTGGGATTAAAGGTGTGTATAACTACCACCGACTCATGCTTGAAATTCAAAGTATTCCATGCTGTTACCTTGAGGCTGGAGGTAGTGTATCTATCCTTGAGGGCTGAACAAACTTTGTGTTTGACCTGAGTCTTATCTCTGTGACACTTAGTAAGAGGTTAAGTGATTTGTCCAAGAAATGTGCATGTTTCTGAACCAATATTTAGACAGACCTTTACCTGTGGCTCCAGAGCTGACAGTCTTCTGTCACAGTTGGCCAGCACTGTGATGTTCTCAGGGAATCACACGCACCAGTGTTGCTTTGCTCTTTTGAGGTAAGGTCTTGCTGTGTAGCCCAGACTAGTCTTGAATTCTCAAATCTTACCGCATATCCTCCAGGGTGTAGGATTACAGTGCACCTGCCTGCCTTTCAGTAGACGCACTTGACCTGGGAGGGGAAAGTTGAGATCAGTCATAGAAGTTGCAGTTGTCGTTTGGTGGCTTGTGTTGGTGAAAGAGTGTTCCTTTCCTTTCCAACCCCAGGCCAGTGTGAGTCGCCTTCTCCCTCTGAGAACAGGGTGTGACACACACACACACACACACACACACACACACACACACACACAGCGTGAACTGCAGAACCTCAGCCTCAGTGTTGCCCTTAGCTAATTGTTGCTGCTGGGTGTTGTTTCTTGTGCTGATCCTTTTCTGTTTGTTTTACACTAATGCCCCTGGGGCTGCCTTGTGTTTTGTCTTCCTGTCTGCAGTAGTGACTCCAGCAGCACCTCAAGTGATGACTCTCCAGCCAGGTCAGTTCTGTCTGCCGCAGTCCCCGCACCCACTTCCCAGTTGCTTTCGTCTCTTGAAAAAGATGAGCCCCGGAAAAGTTTTGGGATCAAAGTTCAGAATCTTCCAGTACGCTCTACAGGTAAGGTTTTATACGAGTGCAGTTTCCTCCCAGTTGTCGAGAGAGTGCAACTCGCTGATGAGCTAGAATAGGGGACTTGACTTTACGTGTGGTGTTTCTGTGGCTCATTTCGTTCTGTGGCTCATTTCGTACGTAATGCCATGAACAAAAACCAGGTGATTGTTACAATTGTATGTGGTTTATTTTCTAAAGCTTGAGAGCAAACAGCAGGGAAGGCAAGGCACATCTTGCCATTGCCAGAAAGAAGAAAGAGGAGGAAGATGTCAGGACTTTTGAGGAAACAGGCAGGATCAGCATGGACTGGTCTGCAAGCAGCTGCATGGCTGGCAGCACAGTGAGGAAGCTGAGAGGCTCGGGGACAGCAAGCTCAGGACTTCTATGTGTGTCCAAAAAGATGGAAGAAAAAAAAGGAAGTTGGGCTCACTTCCCTTCTTCCCAGCATTCTGTTCTGTCTACCCCACCTACCTAATTTTCTGACCTATCAGGCCAAGCAGTTTTCTTTATTGATTAACCAATGAAACAACAGATTGACAAATTACCTTCCCACATCATTTCCCCCTTTTCTGTTTAAACAAAAAGGAAAGGCTTTCACTTTAACATAGTAAAATTACATATAACAAAACAGTAATCAAGCAAGAATTACAGTTACAATATTTATATCTACTTTATCTTTTATCATAACAATGGAAAACTATAACTATATCTATCTATTCTTCAATTCCATCAAGACTCCAGAAGGATATAATATTACCTAAGTAAACGAGAAGAAAGCAACTTACAAAACTCTAGAAATCACAGAGACATCTCACTGCCTGGACAGTCACCCAAAGTTCCTCTGTATTGTTGGGGCATCCATCTTCGGCCTACAGGCCCATAGTATCCAGAGACATTTCCATTAAGCAGGAAATTTCAAAGGCAGTTCAGTCACTATCTGCTGTGTCCTGCAGAGTGTCTCGCAGACTCTTTCATGAATCAGGAACCCCGAAAGATCATCTCACCTTTAGGCAAGTTCAGCAGTCCTCTCTCTGAGGGTTCTCTGTGTCCAGTTTATGCAATAGTCCAGGCAAGAGCAGTTTTTTGCCCAAATGGCTATCAAACTCCATAAGGAGCTTCTTCGATGCCCATCGTCCTCTTGAAGTAGATTGGTGCTGCCAGGAGCCGGGTGGTGGGAAGCAGCCCACAGCTCCTACTACAAAGTGGCGCCCAACGTGGGGTGCCAATTGAAGGTGTAAGTTGCAAACAATCCCACACCAGTTTGGAATTATGACTATTAGAGAGGTTATTTATTTTGAGGGGGAAAAACTTACAGATCACTGTCCCAGACAACAGCCCTCTGCACAATCAGGAATGGAGCCTACTCACTGGAAGCGGAGCCGGAAGCCAGAGCGTGAGCAGAGGGAAGTGGCCGCTTTTTTAAAGGGAGCGAGACCACGCCCCAGTGGGCTGGTATCTCAGCGGCTGTTGGCTGAAGGAGTGGAAGGAGCTCCCGCAACAAGTGCACACATGTTTACATGTATAAGAATATCATAGACATAGATAAAACATGGTTTGCTTTTGAATAAATATTTTTCTGGATTAAATATTTTGGTTTTGGGGAAATGGTTTGCTATAGATTGTAGTTAACATAAGAAAAATGTCCTTGTTTTTGTTTGGCAATGTAGATACAAGCCTTAAAGATGGCCTTTTCCATGAATTTAAGAAGTTTGGCAAGGTGACTTCAGTGCAGATCCATGGGGCCTCTGAGGAGAGGTATGGCCTGGTGTTCTTTCGGCAGCAAGAGGACCAAGAAAAAGCACTGACTGCATCAAAGGGAAAACTTTTCTTTGGCATGCAGATTGAGGTGACTGCATGGATAGGGCCAGGTAAGGCTGGGAAGCGGGTTGTGGTCCAGTGTGTGGACTTAATTCGAGTTTCATTTCTTAACTTACTGGCCCAGCGTCTTAGCTTCTAAAAGGTGGCTAAGGTCTTCATGAGGCATACTGCATTGGTGTGAGCGGGAGCAGTGGTTGTCCTGCTCTGTATGGGAGATGACTTTACCTTAGAGTCCGGAGTGCAGCTTCAGGGCATCTGTGGAGTCAGCCTTCCCTAAAGGATGGCATTGATTGATACCCAAGAAGCAGACTCCGTATCAATATCATTTGAGGGATTCATTTGCATTTTCCCAGCATAACTTAGATATGCTATTCCAGATGACCAGAACTTGAAAGATTGTTAAAGAATGTGGATTGTCTTGTTACTAGGATCAGAGCTGGGATCCTGGCAGCCTTAGCTAGGCTCAGCTGACAGTCCTTGAGTGAACAGCAGAGGGGGCTCAAAGGTTAAGAGCACTCACTGCCCTTGCAGAGGACCTGGGTTTGTTTGGTTCCTAGTGCTCAACAGCAGGCAACGCACGGCCATCTGCAGCTCCAGTTGCCTGGGATCTGATACCCTCTCTGGCCTCTGGGTACTCAGGTACACATGGTATACATTTTCATACACAGACACATAAATAATAAAAGCTCAAAAAGAAAAGGAAAGCAGAGAAAGGAGATACCACATTTATTCAGTGGCTATATGAAAAGAACAAACAAAGGACATCCCGCGGACACCTGCAGTTTCTCTCCAGGGCCCCAACAGGGTCAGAGCTGAAACAGAGGGCAGAAGGTGTGCACAGCTAACAGTCCTGCTGGTTAGCGCCTCGAGTAGATCCAGGGATGCAGGGTGTCCTTTTAGAGCTATGAGGCATGGGTGTGGTCCCTTAGGGATTGAAAGGAAACTCTTTATCCTTTGCATAAGACCCACTGTGGAAGGTTGAAGGCTTAAGCATGTCTCAGGCCAGTGGTAGTGTCTTTCAGAAAACATGTAGTGCTCGTTTTAAAGTGGACTGTCCCCACCCCACCCCCAGCGGCTTAACTGACTGAGAATTTGAACACTCATTCAGAAATGCCTAGTTTATACAGACTGTGAGCAGTTTAATAGAGTATTCTATAGTGGGTTTGTGAGTCTGAGAAAAGTGAACTTTACACTTGAAATAAAATTTATGACTCATTTAAATGGCAAATCTTCTTAGAATATTCATCTTATTTGATAAGAGGGAGCATACTTTCCCTATGAATGTGTAGATGGTATTTACATATTAAACCAGCTATAGCACTGGTAGACATGTAAAGTGTGCATGTCTTTCTGATGAAATCTGGGTATACTGGCTGCTGTAAGCACTGCCGATGAGGGTGACTGAGTGAGAAAGGGTTTCCTTTGGTCACAGTTCTGGCGTCCAGTCCCTCGGGCAGGGGAGGTGGCTGCTCATGTGCAGCGGCACCTGAATGGAGCGTCACCACCCACATGTAGGGTGATCTTCCCACCTTGGTTAACCTGACCTAGAAAACCCTCACAGACTCAGTCAGAAGTTTGTCTCCACGGTGAGTCTAAATTCTGTCAAGGCGACAGTCAGGATTAAACATCATAACAATTAGAAGGAAATTCTTTTCCCAGAGAATGCCTTCTCTCCCTTTATCAACTGAGGTTCAGGTATGCTGCCTCAAATTATACCCAACTCAGAGCAGCTCATAAGTTCTTTGTTGTTTCCTGGAGACAGGGTCTCACTCTGTAGCACAGACTAGTCTAGAACTCACCGTGTAGTCTAGATTTACCTTGAACTTAGGGCAGTCTTCCTGCCTCAGCCTCCAGAGTGCTGGGGTTACAAGTCGGCATGTGCACAGGTGGCTGGGGTTCTTGTTGGGTTGCTTCAGGACGTGTCAGAACTGCCTGAGGAGTGTTCAGTGTGCACCTAGCCTATGTAGGTCTTAAACATCAGTCAGTTGTTATGGAGATCTCAGTCAGGGTCAGTGACGGGTAGCATTCTGGTCTTTATGCATATAAGGAGAGTTTAAGATGGCTGTTATTATAAGCCTTTTAACCTTGTTATGTAGCACATGGGAACAGGGGTTCTTAGTCATTCTTTTGAGACTAAGTCTTATGTAAACCAGGCCAACCTTAAATCCAACATCTATTGCCTACACTTCCCAAGTTAGAGCCGTGTTTCTCCATGCTCAGTTCATCTTTTATTTGTTCATTTTGTTTGTTTAAGGGAAGGTTTCATAGAGCTCAGGCTAGCTTTGAACTTGCTATATAGTTAAGGATAGCCTTAGACTCCTATTCCTCTTGCCTGTACCTGCTGGGGTTTATAGGAATGTGTCTCCCGTGCCGCCTGGCTTCATTTTGTGTGTGTGTGGGGGGGCCGGGGTGAGCCCAGAGCTTTATGTGTGCTGCACAGCTGCTTCTGAGCTGTATCCTTATCCTGTCTACTTATCTTTTTGATGGCTTTGTTTTACATTTTTAACAAGTAGAGAACATGTAGTGCTGAGCTATTATTACCATGAAAACCTTGAATATCTGTGTCTCCGACAGAATTAATAAGTGGCGCTTTAGCAAAGGGCTGGATTAAATTAGAAGTTAAGCCAATAGAAAAATAGAAACCTTTTGGATATCATTGGGGACCACATAACACCAAAATAGAGAGCTCACAGATGTCACTCTAAACACTTTCCACACAATTATTCTTGTATATAAAGTCTTTTTAAAGTAATTATTTTGCTGGGCCGTGGTGACACGTGCCTGTAATCCCAGCACCAGGGAGGCAGAGGCAGGCGGCTCTCTGAGTTCAAGGTCAACCTGGTTTACAAAGTGAATTTCAAGACAGCCAGGACTGTTTCAAAGAGGAACCTCCCTTGTCTCAACCCCCTCCCCCAAAGTAATTTAGTATTGTATTTGGTTGGTTGTTATGCCTGCATATGTCTGTGCACTATGTGTGTGCCTAGTATCCATGAAAGCTAGACACTGTTAGATCCCTTGGAGCTGGATGGTTTGTGAGCTGCTATGGATGCTGGGTATTGAAACTGGATCCTCTGCAAGAGCAGCCAGTACTTACTTCAGAGCCATCTCTCCATCCCCTAAAGTCTTGATTTAAACATTTGAATTACTATTACTGTAGTAAAAATTACTATTAACGTAGTAAACATGAAATGTTGAATATCATTAAGATCTTCAAAGTAAATGAAACTAAACAATGTCCTGGGACTGTTTTCTGCTGAGTTGTAATTTCCTTTAGATTGTAGAGTATATGTGATTTTGTTTGTTTGAGATAGGGTTGCTCTATGAAGGCCACAGTTGCCTAGAATTCGTATATGGCACAGACTGGTCTTGAACTCTCAATTATCCTGTATCTACTTTCTGAGTGCTAGGACTGCAGAGATGTATCACCATGCATAGCCAAGTTATAATTTCATGCTCAGTGTTAAGACCAGAGGGTAAAAGGCACTTATATGTAACCTGAGTATATCCCTGGGACCCATGTAGAGGTGGGTAAAGAGAATCCACTCACAAAGTTGTCCCCTGACTTGCACACATGCCCACACTCATACGTCATGCACACGTACTATAATAATAGATGTCATGGTGGTACATGCCTTTAATCTCAGCACTGAGTATAGCCCACAGATACCTGTGAATTCAAGGTCAGCTACAACTGCATGGTGAAAGCCTATCTCAAAAATAAAAATAAAATAAAACCCACAAACAAACAAAAACCTTTCTTGTTAAATTCTCTGAGCAATAGCTTCAGTTTTTGCATGCTCACTTGTTTGTCTGAGACAGTGTCTACTGTGCAGCAAGGCTGGTCTTGAACTCCCAGTCCTGGCAACACTGTTTCCTGAGTGCTGAGGTTACAGGCCTGGCCACCAGGCCCAGGATGATACAGTTTGTTATAAGCACATATTTTTCCAAATAAGTAAATTATGTATTAGAGATTGTATTAAAGTACCCTGTTCTACTCTGCCCCATCCACTCACAGAAACAGAAAGTGAAAATGAATTTCGGCCCTTGGATGAAAGGATAGATGAATTTCATCCCAAAGCAACAAGAACTCTTTTTATTGGCAACCTTGAAAAGACGACTACTTACCATGACCTTCGAAACATCTTTCAGCGCTTTGGAGAAATTGTGGTATGTTTCTTCAGTGATAAAAATGCTGTAGGTCTTTGTAGAACATGAGGACAAGAGGAAGGATATAGATATGTGATATTTAAGGACAAATGAAATATTTCCCCTTTGCTCTATCCCTTTTTCATTTTTAAAGCCTAGTGTCTCATATAGCCCAAGCTTACCTTGAAATGTGAACCACCTTTTTCCTGTTAACATTTTTTAAAAGACTCTTTAAAAAGAGAGAGAGCAAGAGAGCGCATGTGTATACACATTTTGACTACATACATGTGTGTACCAGGTACCTTTGGAGTCTACAAGAGGACATTAGACTCCCTGGAACTGGAGTTACAGGTGATTGGAAGCTGCCATGTGCATATTAGAAACTGAAATCAAGTTATCTATAAGAGCAGCCAGTGCCCATAAATGAATGCCAAGCCATCTCTCCAGCTTCCCGTTTTTAAAAAAATCTGAAACAGTGTCTTGCTGAGTAGTGAAGCAGGCAGGTCTCTGAATTTAAGAGCAGTCTTGTCTACATAGTGAGTTCCCAGGCCAGCTGGGGTTACATAATGTTTGCTTTGTTTTTAATTATCATGTTTAATTGTGTATATGTCTGTGTGTGGATATGTGCATGTGGGCATTATCATGTTTAATTCTGTGCGTGTCTGTGTATGGATATATGCACGTGAGTATTGATGCCCACTGAGGCCAGAGGTGTTAAGACCCTTTGGAGTTGGAGTCACAGGCAGTTATGAACTGCCCGAAGTGGATGCTGGGAACCGAACTCACGTCCTCTACAAGAGAAGTGCTTGCTCGTAACCACTGAGCTATCTTCCCAGCCAGAGACTCTTGTTTTTAAAACAGAAACAATACTTTTATAAAAATTTCAATATTTAAATCCCACTTATTTGCTTGGTTTCTTTTCTTTCTCTCTTTTTCTTTAGAGAAGTCATTCTGGAGAGATGAATCAGTGTTTCAGAGCACTGACTCTATTACAGAACACCCAGGTTCCATTTCCTGCACTCACCTGGTGGCTCACAACCACCAGTAACTATAGTTTCAGAGGATCCAGGGCCCTCATCTGGCCTTTGCTAGCATTGCACACACATGGTGCAGACGTACATTCAGGCAAAATGCTCAAAACACATAAAATAAAAATTAGTAAATTAGAAAGTGAAATGTGCTTGTAGCCCACTCTGCCACCGAATGTTGTCCGTAGCCAAAGGTGACTTTGAACTTTTGATAACTCCTGCCGTCCATAGTACTTGGGAATTCTTAGGCATTAAAGAACAAATCCAGGGCTTCACATCTGCTAGGCACATACTTTCTACCCACTGAACTGCACTTCTACCCCCTCACACTTTTGTTAGTTTTTGTTTTTTGTTTGACAAAGTTTCTTCATACTAGACTAGCCTTGAACTTACATAGATCCTCCTACCTCTCCTCCAGAGTTCTGTGATAAGTCAGGCATGTTTTAAATGCCTTTTATTTCTGTATTCTGTAAGACAGAATCTCATTATGTAGCCCTGGCTGGCCCAGAGCTCGATGTGCAGACTGAGCTTACTTTAAATTTGTGAGCTCTCTTCTGCCTTTGTCTTGAGTGCTGGGATCACAGATGTCATACCCAGCTCAAGACTGAACAGCAATGAAGAAGCTGTAAGTTTAGACTTTGAGGAGTAAAGAGTATATGACAGCTGTTGTGTGTGTGTTCATTCCATTTCTAGTCCTGTGTGTGTTCTATGCCTCTGTGTGTTGACCTGTCTCTTGCTCATATTTTGTACTTTAAGAAAAAGACCGTTGTTTTTTAAATGATACAGTGTAGTCCTTTCTTTTGAAACAGGGTCTCTGTGTGGCAGGCCAGCCTTGAACTAGAGCTCCCCTCTTGTCACCTTTCCGAATGTGAGGGCTGTAGGCGTGAGCACGCACTCTAATGATCATAGTGATGGATTTAGCACATCTTGAGAACTTGATTTCTTGATTGTTCGTTTCAAGTAGTGGTTTTATGGTTTTGGAGTTTTTCAAGACGGTTTCTTTCTGTAGTCTTGACTGTCTTAGAACCAGCTCTATAGACCAGGCTGACCTCCAACTCACAAATATCCACCTTCCTCTGCCTCCCGAGTACTGGGATTAAAAGGCGCTTACCCCCATGCCAGGCTCAGGTAGTGTATTAAGGGGTTTGGTACTACTAAAGATTTTTGACAGTGCCAAAGTATAGTTAGTCTTTTTTTTTTTTTAATCAGGACTGACAGCTTTTCAATAATGACACAGAGACTTCTTTTTAATTATGGAAGCTCGGCTGATAGCTTAGGCTTGTTTTTAATTAGCTCTTCAACTTAAATCAACACATTTATATTAATTTACTTTCTGTCTCATGGCTTTACTACCTCATCTCCATAATGCCTATCCTGCTTGCCCTGTGTCTTCTGGCGTCTCCATTTCTTCTTCCCAGTATCCTCCTCTGACCCCAAAGTCCTGCCTAACTATTGGCAGGTCAGCTTTTTATTAAACCAGTCCAAGTGACACATCTTCACAGTGTACCAAAAAGATTATGTCACAGTACCAAAGGGAATTACTTTCTGGTATTCTACTAAGTAGGCAACCTCTCCTTTGTTATTAATTTCCCTTTACCATGGATTTAAATTTTTAAGTTGCAGGACAGTTGCTCTTCTGCAGGGGCCTCACAGGGGATGGCTTTCGTGATATGTGACCTTTGTACCATCAGTTTACAATGTATGCAGACATGATCCAACTAAAGTTACTGGGAACATGACTTGTAGAAAGAAGCGTATCTATGTGGACTTGGCTTCTTCTGATTTATTTTCTTATTACCATATTGCTAAGTGATGCTGATTGACTCTTGCAGGACATTGACATTAAGAAAGTGAACGGAGTCCCTCAGTATGCCTTCCTGCAGTACTGTGATATTGCCAGTGTGTGTAAGGCTATCAAGAAGATGGACGGAGAGTACCTTGGAAATAACCGCCTCAAGGTATGTGAAGTGCACAACTTACCCTGTTACTGTTTGAATTGCTGTAAGGTTTTGGGGACTTACCTTATTATTTTAGGGCTGCAGAAGGACAGCCTTCTCCGTGTCCTCATCCTGTCATTGTAGCCTGCCACTCGGGGCCAAGCAGGATTGCCCTGTTGTAAGTTTTGATTGTTGTTTATTACTTATGAACTACTTGCACATTGTTTTGAGCTCAGTGGTAGATGTCAACACGTTTTACCATGTAAGCTGCTGGGTTCAATATCTAGCATGACAGACACACACAGTTCAGCGTTTTTACAGAAGACTAGTTTTCTGAGAATGGTCACTGTGATCTGTGGTGATAGAATTTTCTCTTTGAATTTCAGCTGGGTTTCGGAAAGAGCATGCCTACAAACTGTGTGTGGCTAGACGGGCTTTCTTCAAACGTGTCTGATCAGTATTTAACACGGCATTTCTGCCGCTACGGGCCTGTGGTAAAGGTAGGCTTTTGCTCTTTACTTTATTTCTTAGTATTTCTTTGTGTTCTGTCATTTAGTCTCACTTTCTACTGTTGTCCTTTCCTTTCCTTTAATAATTCATTTTCTCAAACTCTCTTGGCTGGGTCTGCAGAGGTGTACAGTGCTTAAAAACACCTGCTGCTCTCCAGAGGATCCAAGTTTAGTTCTCAGCACCCACGCCAGGTAGTTCGACCCTGCTTGGAACTCCAGCTGCAGACACCCAACACATTCTTCTGGGCTGTGCAGGCACTTCACATATTGCACACACAGAGATATACATGCATAAGGTTTTTAAAAATTGAATTTAGATTTATGGTCTGTTGGGCCAGGCTCTCCGCTCAGTGCCTAGTGCTGCAAAATAACCAGCAGTAAAGCATTTCCCAATGATACGAGATGCCGGGAAAATCTGGAGCTCCTCATATATAAAGTTAAATAAAATAGGATTTTAAAAAATATTTTGCTTACTTATGACATAGACCTTTCCACAGTCTCTGGTAGTGTCATACAGCTTTTAAAAAATGAAAGTCTCATATAAAAATTTGTCTTTATACTTGTGAACTTTCTGATAAAATAGCTGGGGCCGGAGAGATGGCTCAGTAGGTAAGAGCACTGGCTGCTCTTCTAGAGGGCTTGGGCTCACTTCTCAGCACCTACAGGCAACTCACAGCTGTCCGTAATTCCAGTTTTAGGAGATCCACCAGATACACATGCATACAAAACATCAATGTGCATAAATTAAAAAATAAAACATCAAATTAAATACCAGTGTGTTCTGTTGACCAGTGTATACTGCATAGAAATGCTCACATTCAGTACCTACCTATTTAGAAAAGCATTAAGAAAATGGTGTTTGAACAGCTTCTATACCTTAAATTTGGTAATTCAAGTTTCATTTATGCTTTTAAAGCTATACATTCTGTAGGTATAAAAAGTTTTTATTTTATTTTTGTTTCTTTGAGACAGAGTTTCTCTGTGTAGCTCTGACTATCTTGGAACTCTCTGTAGACCAGACTAGCCTTGAACTCAAGATGCTCTATCTACCTGCTTCTGCCTCTCAAGTACTGGGCTTAAAGGCGTGCACCACTACTGCTCGGCTGATAAAAAAGTTTTTAAAAATATATTCCAGTTTATGCCAGGCAGTGGTGGCACATGCCTTTAATCCCAGTATTCGGCAGGCAGAGTTCAAGGCTAGCCTGGTATGCAGATCGAATTCTAGGACAACTAGGGCTACACTGAGGAATCCTATCTTTGCTGTCCCTGTCTTGAAAAACAGAACAAAAATTCCAGTTTAAATTTAAATGTCTCTTAAGCTTCTATTTTCTTTTTTAAAATAATTTATCTATTTATATTTTATGTGCATTGATGTTTTGCCTGCATGTATGACTGTGTGAGGGTGTTAGATCTTGGAATTATAGACAGTTGCAAGCTGCCATGTGGGAGCTAGGAATCGAACCCGGGTCCTCTGGAAGAGCAGTCAGTGTGCTCTTAACTGCTGAGCCATCTCTCCAGCCCCAAGCTTCCATTTTCAAGTAGCACTGTGATGCCATGACAGCTGTCCCATAGATGTACTTAGTCAAAATAAGTTAATTAAAAAAAAATTGTAGTATAGTAGGAAGATGATTTCTTTTTTAGAAACAGTAGAGTAAGTTGCTAGAGGTTTTTTATAATTTTCTCTCATGAAAATTAGTCCAGAGCCAGCAAAATAACTCTGCGGGTAAATGAGTTTGCCACACAATCTGGTAACCTGAGTTTGATTCCTAGCACCCACCTAAAGGTGGAATGAGAGAACCAGCTCCACAAAGATGTCCTCTGATGTCTGCATGTGCTCTGGCATTCCTGTCCACACACATACATCATGTGTGCAGACACACACACTGATAGAAGGGGAAAGTAGTCTAGAGCTGGAGAGGTGGCTAAGAGTATGAGTACCCGAGTTCAAATCCCTAGAGTCCACATCAAAGCCAGATACAGCATCCATGTCTGTAATCCCAGTACTACAGGGAGATAGGAGGCACAGACAGGAGACCACGAGAAGTTCATAGGGCATGAGTCTGGAGTTTGTGGCAGATCAATGACAGTCCATCTCAAACAAGTTGGAAGGCAAGGAAGGGCTGGCACCTGAATTTGTCCTTTAAACTTGACACACACGCCAGTCTAGTAGGTGGACATGGTGGCTCATGCCTGTAATCTCAGCATTAGATAGGCTTAGGTAGGAGGGTGTTACACCGTGAAACTCTGTCTGAAATAATAACGTGGGGGAGAGGGAAGGAGAGAGGAATTTATATTCACACCTAAGTTTTACTCATGCTGTTGCTGAGGATTAAACATTGGGTCTTGCATGTGCTAGATAAGTTCTCTATCACTGAGTTGTATCCGTAGATCTGATTTATGTTTCAGCAGTTATGAATTTAACGTGTTCATGAAGCAGAATTTTTCTATGACCAATAAATAGCACACCCACAGATGCAGGGAAAGGCTCTTGGGCCCAGTTACATCCTCTTATTATTTTGAGCCTCAGATAGAAGAATGGTCTTAGCAAAATATAGAAAAAGAAGATGTAATATATTGAAAGCCTCAGTACCACGATTCTGTTGTCCTTGGGATATCTGACATGTGTTTACTAAGACAATAGCATGTTTCCATGATCTATGCACACCGAACTTAGTGTGTTTGCTAAGACAGTACCATGCATGGTTTCGTGGTCTCTGCACACCTAACTTAGTTTGTCTACTAAGACAGTACCATGCATGATTCCATGATCTTTGCACACAGAATTTAGTGTTTTTATTAAGACAAGCCTCTTCTGGAAAAGCCAAGTTTTTCTGGAGTAGTCTAATTTGGTACTTTTCCTTAGGAACATCCTTGTGATTTAGGGTTTTTGGGGACTGACATTCACACCAGTAGAAAAAGCTCTTAATTGGTTGTTGTATTTTTTTGCAGGTGGTGTTTGACCGCTTAAAAGGCATGGCTCTGGTTCTCTACAATGAGATTGAGTATGCACAAGCAGCTGTCAAGGAGACCAAGGGCAGGAAAATTGGTGGGAATAAAATTAAGGTGTGCATAGTGACTTTAACAAAAGCCAAAGGCTGTGTGTGGCATATACCTTTAATCCCAGACAAGTCCACAGAGTATGATTTGCCTCAGAAACCAAAACCAAAGTCTGTTCATATTCTACGCAGAGTCTCAAATGTAGGTTGCCAGTGAAGAGAGTGGTTTACCAAACATGGTTTTATTTGTCCTCAGTTTTTAAGGGAAATAATAGGGTATTCTTGCTTGCTATTTATGGACACAGGTCTTTTATGACCTTAGCCATAGGCCCTTCCCTAAAGTCCTTTTCAGCACACTTCTTTCCCTGGAAGCCTGACGCTCTTACCTGTGTTCTTGGTGCAGGGCCCTCCTTTCCCATTACAGTGAGTGTCTGTGTGCCAGTGGTACAGTCAGTCAGCTTCCAAAAGTAAGCTACCTGTGACTGTAAGCCTTGTGCGTGTGTGTTTGTGTGTTCATGTTCCTGGTATTGCTTGTTTTAAAACTCACTCTTCATAGTTGTTTGGCATAATTATGAACTTAAGGACTAATGTCTAGATTAAAGTAAAATAATAGTATTTTGGCAGTAGAACATGAAGCTAGGCAGCTGGAAAATAGAGCTGTCTTGTCCTCATGTTCTCTTGTTCTGGCTATTCTCACAAATTTATGTGCAACATAGATTGCCTGACTATAGATTACCAATTTAATTGGCTCAAGCATTTGCCAACTCAGAATTCTGGTAGAAGTTTGTTAACATTTTATTTTTGATTTTTGTTGTTGTTGTTTGATTGGCAAGGGGAGAAGTTGTGAGTGTGTGGGTATGAGTCTCACTATGTAGCCCAGACTGGCCCCCATGACTGTCCTGATTCAACCTCCACAATTTGGGAATTGAACCATGCCTGGCCGTTTCACTCCTGGATGGGTTTTGGGACCTTTAAATTGTATCTGTCAAGATTTATGTAGAATTTGGGAGTTTTCTATTAAAAAAAAATATTTCTCTTAAACTTTCTAAAATTTGCCATGTGTTGTGGTGCACACCTTTTATTTTTAAATTATTTTTAAACTTTTATTTTACTCTTTTCTCATTAATACATCTCGATCTTAGCTACCACTCCTCCCAGTTACCCCTTCTTCCCCAGACCGATCCCCACTCTTTGTCCCGGTGCCGCCCCCCCCCCCCAAAAGAATAAGCTTCCCAGGGACATTAAACAAAAACAGCACAAGATACAATAAGACTAGGCACAAACTGTCACATCAAAGGCTAGGCAAAGCAACCCAGTAGGAAGAGTCCTGAGAGCAGACAGAAAAGTCAGAGACACCCCCACTTCTACTGTCATGAGTTCCCCCAAAACACCAAGCCAACAACCATAACATGTATGTAGAAGATCTCGTGCAGACTCATGCATGCTCCGAAATTGCTCCCTCAGTCTCCGAGCCCCCATGAGCCCTTATTAGTTGATTTCCCAGCCCGAATCTCCCATTGTCCTCCATCCCTCTGGCTCCCACAATTCCTTCTCCCCACTTTAGGTGTTCTCTAGCTTGGGGTGGGGCACCTTATAGAGATCTCCACCCTGAACTCACTCTCTCTTTGCCTAATGTTTGGCTGTGGGTCTCAGCATCCACTCCCGTCAGCTGCCAGAGGCAGCCTTTCTGGTGACAGGTAGAACCAGGCAGCAGACCATGAGTACAGCAGAGCATCATTCTGGATAAGTTCATCATTTTTATTTTTTTCCAGTCGTGCTTCTACCCTAGGTGTCTGTCTGCATTATCCAGCCTTAGTTTCCTTGTCGTCCAGGTAGTGCCGGGCATGAGCTCCCTCTTGTGGCGTGGGCCTCATATTAGACCAGTCATTGGCTGGCCACAAGGCACACACCTTCAGTCTTAATCTCTAAGAGACAGAGAGGCAGGTATAACTTTTGAGTTCATAGCGAGCCTGGTCTACAAAGTGAGTTCCAGTATAGAAAAACCCTCTCTCAACAAACAAAAAACTTCCCAAAATTGAGATCTGAAACCTCTCTTTCTTATAAAAATCTTTTTATATATTGATTATGTTTGTATTAGATCTGTGCATCACATAATAATGAGTTTTATTATGAATTTGTTTTTTTAAAGGTGGACTTTGCAAATCGGGAGAGCCAATTGTCATTTTATCACTGCATGGAGAAGTCTGGTCAAGATATCAGAGACTTCTATGAAATGCTAACAGAGAGAAGGTAGGTTCTTGTTCACTGTTGGGCTAGACCATCAGTTTTGGGAATGATCACCAGGACCATGTAGGTCAGCATTTTACTTCTGAAGCACCTCAGCCTGAGGTGTGTCCAGCAGGCCTGCCAGTATAGCTTGATTCTAGTTTTTGTGGGCTGATTTCTTTTTCATTTCTACTCAGTTCTCCCCAAACATATTTTTTAACCTGTCGTATAGAAAGCATAGGTTTATTCTGACAAATCTAGTTTTTATGTAGTTGAGGGTAGGGTGGGGACACCGTGTCTCAGGCCGCAATGAGCACTCATATTGGGAAAGAATTGTGAAGTGTTTGTCTCTTTGAAATAGAGTAAGTCAGGCTGGTGGGTGGTGGTGGCACACATCTTTAATCCCAGCACTCGGGAGGCAGAGCAGGCGGATCTCTGTGAGATCGAGGCCAGCACTACAGAGTGAGTGCCAGGAAGGGCTCCAGGCTACACAGAAAAACCCTGTCTCAAAACAAAAATGAGAGAGAGAGAGAGAGAGAGAGAGAGAGAGAGAGAGAGAGAGAGAGAGAGAGAGAGAGTCAGATCTCATATAAACATACATGGCTTTGGCAGTGCAGAAGATAAGCCATTTTTTTTGGTCCCAGTAATACAGTGTTTGACCTTTTTCTCCTGTTGATTTGATGACCTTTTAAAATGCACTCACATAATAACCAGGCTCTTCTCATAGATGATGGTGTTTGAAAGTGGAAACTATTGCCTGTACTAAAAAAAGCCTTTTGCCCGACCTCCCTCTATGGTGGTCATCTGAAGTGTGACCACCTGTTCTACCCCATACATATTCAAAGGCTTTAGACAGCTAAGGTCAGAAAACACCAGAACTTGGGGGGCTGCTGGAGCCCACCAGCATCTCCTTCACTGCCGCTGGTCCCAGTTTGCTTTGTTGGAGTCACACAGCATCTTTTCGAGACCTTTCCTAGCTCAGTATCCTGCTAAGTCACTGACCTCTTGAGCTTTTAAGTTAAACTGACCCCACCATCAAAATTCTAGTAGGTAAGGCTTTTGATAGTTTCTCATGAATAGATCAGAATTCAGATTACAGAACACTGAAAACGTCTAGTTCTTCAGCTAGTGAACCAGTGTGAGGGGTTGTCTGTCACAACCCCCATCCCACCCGTCAGAAAAAGAGCACACATGACATTGTGTGCTTATATATCCAAGTATGTCGCTTTGGACAGAATATTCTTAGTCCCAGTTCCTAGAAGTAGCAGTTTGACGTCATTGGTTGTGGTTTCAGGTAGCCTAGACTAGCCCCAGGCTTGTTGTATTAAAGCTGAGGATGACCTTGATGGTCTTTCTGTCTCAGCCTCCTGAGTGCTGGCTTTCCGGGTTTATGCCACTATAACTGACTTAGGTGGTTCTGGGCGTCCTTTTTTCAATGTTTTACTTTGTAGCCCTCACTAGTCTGGAACTTCCTGTGTAGACAAGGCTGGCTTCAGATTGAGGAACCCTGCCTTCCTCTGCCTCTTGAGTGCAGGGATCAAAGGCATGCACTGCCACATCCGACCAACTGTTACTGTGTTGCAGTGAACCAAAAAGTGAGGTGAGAGCTGCAGAGACTGGGACTCAGAACCAAGCCTGTGCAGCTGGTGATAATATTTTCTAGAATGAACACACCTCACCCACCCAAGACAGCATGGTCTTCCAAGACTGGCTTTTTATCTAGAGCATGAATGAATGGTTATTGGTTGGATGTTGGGAGTGTCTAGGATTGAAGCCTGTGGTAGACAGTGTCTGCCCCTGAGGTGCATCTCCAGCTGTATTTTTGAGAGCGGTCTCACTGAGTTCCCCAAGCAGCTGGGATTATAGGCCTGTGTCATCACACCCACCGGGACTGCTATTTTTAACACATGTGATTTGGGTTCTAGTGGAAAATGGGCAGCCATTTATTTTTTACTTCAATCATCACCACATGCTCATATACCATAGGCTGACCTATAGCTGATAAAATTGGCCTTGAACTTGTGATCTTCCTGCTTCCACCTCCTGAGGTTACAGGCATGTTCCACCAAGCTTTGCTTTATCTGCTCTTGAGGAATTCCACAGGTAGACATTTGTCACTGAAAATTTCTAGGAGGGTCAGTGGGATGGCGCAGCAGGTCCACGCTTGCCACCAAAGCTGGCATTGCACTAGAGCTCTGCAGCTCAGGTGAAGAGAGAGCCAAGGCTGCAGAGCTGTCCTCGAACGCTCACATGTGCTTTAATGTGTGCACATCCACGTGTACATCATACACACAGCAGATAAGGGTTTTGGGAATTGAGTATAAAGGAGCCAACTTCCCAATGATAGGAGTGTGCTCAGTTGTACTCTGCTGGACAAGCTGACTCTTGTTCTGAGTGCACTGGATGGGCAGCTGGAGGGAACATTTTATAGTGCTTGAAGCTAGACTTGATTTGTTAGCTGGCAGTTTGAAGAAAAGCAAAAAAAAAGTTTTTAAATAAATGAAATGTTGAAAGTTGAGCTAATTTTATTTTTATTTCTTTTGGGAAAGGTGGGAAGCATTTCTATAAACAAAACATACAATAAATACTTAAACTTTTTTGGGTTTTTAGGGGTTTTTGTGATTTTTGTTTGTTTTTCTCTACAAGACATGGTTTCTTTGTAGCCCCGGCCATCCTGGAACTCACTCTGTAGATCAGGCTGGCCTCGAACTCAAAAGATCTGCCTGCCTCTGCCTTCCCAGTTCTGGGACTAAAGGTCTGCACCACTATGCCTGACAATAAACTTTGTTGTTTTTTGTTTTGTTTTGAGGCAGGATCTCACTATAACCTCAGTTTGCTTTGTAGATAAGGCTAGCCCTCAATGTCTGGAGACCTGCCTACCTCTGCCTCCCAAGGACTGGGATTACAGGCATATACCACCATGCCCGGATAAAACATTTTTTAAAAAGATTTGCTTATTTTTAGTTTATGTATGAGTGTTTTGCCTGCATATATGTTTGAGCTCTAAGTGTGTCTCGTGCCCAAGGAGGTCAGAAGAGGGCATCACTTCCCTTGGAACTAGAGTTACGGAAGGCTGCAAGCCACTGTGTGGATTTTGGGAACTAAACATGGGTCCTTTACAAGAATAATAAGTGAGGTTAACTTTTAAGCGATCTCTCCAGCCCTGAGATTTAAACATTTGAAAAATTCTTTTTTAAAGTTGATACAATTACATAAGTTTACTGGTACAGTGTGATATAACCTAATATGTATATGGTACAGTACAGTGGAATTGCGGTAAGGAGCAGTGAATGTTGACAGAGGTTTCTGTCCCACCTGGTCCTGCAGCCATTCTATCCCAAAGAAACACACAGAGGCTGGCGCACGCCTTTAATCCCAGCACTCGGGAGGCAGAGGCAGGCGGATCTCTGTGAGTTCGAGACCAGCCTGGTCTACAGAGCTAGTTCCAGGACAGGCTCCAAAGCCACAGAGAAACCCTGTCTCGAAAAACCAAA